GCAAACTGGCATGAGAATTTTTGAGTACTTTCTTCAAAACAAATTTTCCAAAAATATCCATAATTAATTGAACCATGCACGGAGTACTTCATTTATTCTACATTAACAGCTCAAGGATACAAGGTACTACACTTGAACTGTACTCCACATCCTAAGGGTGAGGGTAAAAAAAGTTCCATTTTGGTTTTTTTTAATTTATAGATTTACTTTGTTTATACATATATTTTTGATTCCTCTAGTATGTTAAAAGGCCTTACTACACTATCCTTTTGCTTTAACTAACCTCAAAATATTAACTAAAACGTTGCATCTCAAACCCAACATTTGTATGCGACTAGTGCTCCTTCCCAACATTCTTGTTCAGAAGCCTTCAAGCTTGTGGCACAGTATGTTTTCTATAATCCCATTTCTTTTTTAATCACATGCAACCCCTTTTTTGTATTCTATTGATGTTAAAAAGAATGAATGCAGCCCTTGCGCTATTAAAAACAAAAAGCTTCTTACTTTCAGGAATGCATTGGCAAGACTCCACAAGAACAAGATTTAACTTTTGAGCATGGCAGTGGGCATACAAGGCTAATGGGTGGTCCTTGAAAAAAAGAAAAAAGAAAACTCCTGTAATTCATTCAATAGTACATTAATATTATCTTTTACCTTATGGTTGATTAAATTCTTGCAAAATGCACAATGTGCAAGTCACAAAGCATATGAGAAATATGGAAGTGTTGTTTGACTTTTACAAATTGTCATTTAAATATCTATTTAAGCCATACAAATTTTCCTAAAGTGTAAGGATGTCTTATAATTCATTGGCCAAATCTGAAACTCATTTGTTTTGCCTGTGTGTGAGAAAGGATTCACAAAAAAATGTTACAGAATGAGTCAGTCTATTTTATAAATCAGCCGGACCAGCTGTGCCCTTAGACAAAGAAGGAATTATTATAAGAATTTTGCTCAAATTATCTAAATACAGATCTTTTTTACTAGAAGTGTCCCTGCTAATTTTTCAGGCTAAATAGAAAAAAGCAAACCTTCCAAATACAGGGGGTTTTTGTAGCCTTTTTTCTGTATCTATAAACCTTGTTTTGTTCCACCTTGTGAATGATGTCACCCCTTTATTTAGATGACTTAATATGCTACTTAACTTGCCCTGTAGTCCAAGAGCAGCTATGGGAATAACATTGTTCTGGTAGCTACTTCCCCATTTGAAAAACCTCTTAAAGCTGTTATCCATCTGCATTTCGCTCATCGTGTGTGAAACATCTATACAGAAAACAGTAAGCTCTCTGTTTCTTACAGTTATATGCCAGACTACAAACCAATTTATACTCCAGTAGAATTAACCCTTCCTTAAATTTCTCATCTCCCTCTGGGGATTTTTTTGCAAAGGTTTTTTGAGGTCTTGATTGCTTTGGGGGGATTTTTTTCATTTTTTAATTCATAAGCTATAAAAACCTATTTGGTATGATAGCTTGAAAGCATTCCCCATTTTTATTTCCTGGCTGTCTAGGTGGAGAACTTAACCTTTTTTAAAAATTACTGACCTGATAACTATCTACCTGTTTATTATTTGAAGATGATTGGTGAAATTATAATGATTGAAGGTTAAATATCAGTTTCTAAAAAAAGTTACAAGTTTGGGAGTTTTATTCTAGTTCAAATTATGTCAATTCTGAATCTCATTTCTTATTATTCACAAACAAGTGTGTACTTTTGTCTAAGAAACTTAGGGCAAGTGAGACTATTTTCCCATGTGCAGTGCCTCAACACCATTGTCCTTCAGCAGGGAGGAAAACCATTGGTTTAGTCCATTCTTGTCACAAATCATTGTGTTCTCATTGTAGGAAGCTCCAGAAGCCACAGAAACATAAGACATATAGCTGCACCCTACTGCAGATGGTTTTATGTGCATACAAAATGAAACCAGCACTCTTCTCAGGCTATGGTAACCTACACATAGTCATAGATGTGTTCACTCTAATTCTCAAATAATGAGGGAGCACTAATGATCTATGGCAAGAAAATGTAATCCTAGAAGCAGAGGCATCCAAAACTTACACGCTATTTTAATGAAGAAATAGGGTGAAACTTCAATAAGAATATTTGTCCTTTCCAGGTGAGATACAAAATATTAAGCCAAATTAATTAAAGCTAGTACTGAAAAACTCCTTCAATTGTTTAAATAAAGCTCTCTCAGAAAAGCTCCAATATACCCAAGAAAGTGGGAAAACATCTGAAGGAGGTGTCATGGAAGGAAAGTTGAGAGAAGAGTAATGAGAGCAAAGCATTTTAAAAAAAATACAACCAGGTTGAAAGAAATCAATAATGCATGAGTAAAATCCAATTTTTGTCTGAGCCAATACATATGTTTCCTAATATTTGGAACTTTACCAATTAAATTTCAATTTAAAAGTTATATTTCTCCTAACGATAGCCAAAATACCTTCAGCAAACCTAATCTAGTATTCTGACTTGACAAGCTCTATTATCTACACAACACCACTGCCTTTAGCTCAATCCATTTCAAATCATCTTGTACAACTGAAAAATGAGTAACATTAAGAGGAAAGATACCTGTTTAATTGTAACCAAAAGCATGCATAACAACTTATACTGACTTCTTTTCCAATTGTATTCAAACATATCTACAATCAAATCACATAGTATTTATACATACACTGAACAGCACACAAGACTACTTAGAAAATGGAGTATGAAAACATAAAAATATAATTTCTAAAACAAATTAATACACTAATAGGTTCTGTATTATGAATTTACATGAAATACTAGCCTTTTTCACAACAATGGAACAAAGGCCAGCACTGAAAAACTGAGTCAGTGAGATGATCCAAATACTCAGACTCTAATTTTACAGCGCAGTATTTTCAATGGCTATATCACTGCCTAACAGAAAATCTCTTGATTTTCTCTTGATGCTCTTGATACCAATCAGGAAAAAGCTATCTTCATGTCTTTGAAGCCACTTGTTTCATGCAACTGTCTGTACCCACTACTTCAGCTGCTGACTGAAGGCTCCAGACTAAACCCCTGTGCAGGTAATAAAAAGAGAACTAATTGCACTAATAACTGTCTTTAAGGGTGGAAAGATGTCCTCAGTAAGAAAGAAGGAATGCTCCAAAAGAATGGATAGACTTTATCACCTTGAAGGAAAAATTCTAGTTTCCTCACTACTGAATACAACAGAAATACCCATTTGTCTCTTTTGACTTCCCTTGCTCCTGGTGAAATGGTGTATTTTTTTTTAATTCCTTCAGTTTAAAGAAAATGCTGAACTGCAACAAGAGTGAAAAGAATCACAGGCATGAAGGTATAACCCAGCTACTCACCAATTTCCTTAAACATGGTAGGGAAATTATGGAAGGTATACAGGTAAAATAAAGCATTGTTTTGCATTCTCTGATAAGTGAAGTGACAAAAGGGATTTTGTGAGATCTTTGTCTCCCAGCTCATATTTTAAAGGGGGGAATCATTTATTACATGCAGTTAAAGAACAATAGCAATAGCCAAGGTTACTAGGTTTGGCTCAAGATCTGAGCCCTTTGTTCCCTGGTGTGCAGGATTGAGAGAATATATAGCATCTTGGCACCTGCTGTTAGCAGCTACTTAAGGGAATTCAAAATTTAATTAACCTTCATAGTAATCCATAAAAGATGTTATGTAAGCTCAGAACTTCAGAATTTAGAGAACTTAAGGTTTCTATATTCCTTACCTCTCTACTTATTAATCCATAGACAAGAGACGCCAGGTGAAAATATGTGCCCCACTTTCATGTAGGTAATTGTTTGGAAACATTTTACAACCTAAACAATTTGTATGAATTGGGAAGAATACCATGATTTGCATGTTTGCTCTTTTCTTAAAGCCTAAGGCCACACTCCTCTGCTGACAAGAAAAACTCTCTAGAATTATATGGCCATCCAGTCACTGCTGTTCTGACAGTACTGTGAGCTGAAGCTCCCTGAGGCTCCACAACCCTGCTAGAGATGCTATTGCACAAGTGATTCAGTCTGCCTGTAGCTGTGCTTCCAGAGCATCAGAAAATGTCTTCAAGCCCCTCTGTCTACATAAATGCTTTAGAAAAGTAGTAATTTACGAGCAAAATGGGGGGAAAAAGTAGATAAAAGTAGGGTGGCATATGGCCAAACTTTTGACTTAATTTCACCACAGGTTGCTTTTTATTTACAAGAGGCTAATCCGCTCTCAAACCACACAATAGAGCAGCCACTGGCAAAGGCAGGCAGATAAAATTGGCATGCCTCTGTATTGTTCTTCTTAATCTGAACCATTAACAGAAGGGTGAGAAGGCTAGTTTTGTCATTTAAACAGGCTTAAATCCTTTCTCCAAATGAGCTTTTGTCTACACAGAAGAATTCATCCAGGAAATTTAAGGGGCTTCTGTTAGTGTTGCATTCTCGAGTTGACTAAACTACAGGAATACTAACCTATTTATTTGGTCTTCATACTGTAAATGCAAAAATTATTGCCAGCTGTCAAAACCAAAAGGGGTTCAACCTGACTAAATTATTTCTCAGAGGTAAAACAGGATAAGATTATAAAGTGCTAAGCAGCAACTATTTGAAATCCTGAACTGCACCTGTGCAACTAAATCTCCATTTATACAGGTGCTTTTCAAATTGGATTTGAACCCTTAAATTCCCTGATTCATCCCCTGAAAAACCACAGAAGCTCAAATAACTAATGAAACTCAGAGACAGAAGGGCTTAAAATAGTTTCAAGCTGTGAAGTAAGGCCTAAGACTAACTATGTTCTTTGATTCACTGTTGATGTGACATATCAAGCATAAACATAAGTTGCACAATTCAAATGCCAGAGGTCATAGGGTAGCCAGTAGCTATGTAATTTTTTTTTTTTTAGCACAGGAAAGGTCATCACCTGGCCGATAAGCACAATACACAGCCAAATACCTGAAATAAAAATGTATTGGTTAGCATGATCTGGTTTTGTTTTGATTTTACCTGGCACATCTTGCACAGATATTCAATGTAACCTTTGCTTGAGGCTCAGCCGTATGAGCGCTTCGAGTTTGATTGAATTTGCTCCCAGAAGACACCACACTTGTTACTCCTTCCATTCTGAGATCATCAAGATCCTCTGCAACAAGACAGAACAAGGGGATGAACACATGATTAAATTTTGTAGCAACAAAGGAGCCTCACCTGCAGTATCATTAAAAAATGGAACTGCTCAAAAATTGGGAAGAAGAGAGTTACTTGCATACTAATGGGAATATTAATGGGAATACTAATGGGAATACAAATGGGAAAAGACACTTGAGATATTTTTTTTTTATATATATTAGCCCACTCTTATAAGGGGCTCCTTAAAAAATATTCAGTATAATTTCTATATCAAACCATCCTCCACACTTTAAAAATATTTATTTAACTGTTCAATTTCTAAAAAACTTGTCATCAAGAGATGCTGTCCAATAGCATATTGACACTGGGAATATTGAAGACAAAAATAATTTTTCGAGTGTATGCTACTCCTCTGTGTTTTTTTCATCATCTATTCACTTAGCAGTGAAAAAATATTGCTAAAATAAAAGTGTTCTGCTAAACCCAGAAAATGTTAAACGGACATAGATATCATTATGATCATATATCATCATATATATCACATATATATCATTGGAAGGGACCATAATGTGCATACTTAAATCTACTATATTCCTGTAATATGGGCAACTCATAATAAAAACTGAATTTTCAACTACTGTAAAACCATTGACATTTTGAAAGGAGACAGTAGAGGGTCTCAGAGAACTTTTTTCCCCAAGATGCCTCTGGACTAGTGTATCTCAGCTAGACTGTGAAAGAATTCTCTTGGTTTAGAGTCAAGTCATTCTTTAGAGATTAATCTCTATATTTTTTGCTAACACAAAACAGGCAAGTTCTCTATGCCTCATGTATTTATAAAGCCCAATTTTCAATTGTTTATAACTTGATTAGACTCTAGCTGAAATGTAAACAAGTAAAGCACTGGCTAGCTTCTATTAAATGACCATATACTGACCATGTAACCACTCCATGTACTGACTGATGCATGTGGTTTATGGTACACAATATGTAAGCATCTGATTAAAACGTCTTTCAGATATTCTATACACACACGTATTTTCATATATTTACATTTACAAAAGAAACCTAATGTTAAAGGATCTGAATGAAGCAGGAAGCACAAAGAGATTTTAAATCCCAATATCACATGGAGAAAAGTCACAGAGAACTTTAAAATCATAGGAGACATAGTATTTTAAACTCTAATTAATTCAATTTAAATACACAAGTAGTCATTATCGACACACAGTGGAGAACCAAGCTGCTTTTCATGTACAAAAGAATGACACAGAACCCCCAAATCCTTACCCAAAATACTTTTGGTTGTCCTCTATAGTTCATAGACCCCACTCTTACCAGTGTGCATCAAACTCAGGGCAGTGTAGTCAGATTGTTGGGATTATGTCCCATTAACAACACTCTTCTGGGGAGACATGGATTTTAATAAGCAACATTCAATAACAGTTAGGCTGAACTCTCAGGAAAATTCTGAGACCAAAGTCCTTGAACTAAATTTTTTTCTCTGTAATGTTTTATTTTACTGCTTAAGAAAACTCTCCTCCCCACCACCACCTCCACACAGCCGATTTGTTGCCTTGATATAAATTGACATGTGAACTAAAGTTTCTGGCAAAATTTTACACAATTTCAACACCTTTTCCTTTAAATTTCATGTATGGTTAATACACAAACTAATTCAAAGGACCTGGAAGGTTATATGATAGAGAGCTATGAAATCAATCATCTATGAGTCATTTCAGAAAAGGTATTACATATTTGGAACACATTATGTATTAAAATAAATACAGTTTAATTGTGCTTTAAAGAGGTGTGAAAAGTTCCATATTTTTTAACAGATGTAAACCACTGGATGAATTACAGCTTAAAAGAAATTGAAGCATATGCCTCAGGTTTTTTCTCCCACAAAGCAGATGTGATTTCTTTAAATAAGGTTTTCAACTGTTCTCTGCCTGATTAACTTTTGGCTGCTGACGACTAAGTGTTTCAACAAAGAATGAAATAGGCTGCCCTCCATGATACCTTTTATATTTGAATTTGGATATCAAACCCATGCCTTTTTGTCATTTTTAGTTAACTACCAGCCTTTTTCTCTCAAAATAAAATTAAGTGAATCTTTGTGCAAGAAATGTGGTTTCAAGAGCTGACTGTAGTTGTAGCCAACAGACAAGCAGACAGAATAGTATGCACCACTGATTTATTGTCACATGCTGTTAGACCAACAGCAGTAATGTGCATACAGAATGCAATTTAAAATACCAAAAAACCTACATCATATACAACTGTTATTTTTCTCAAGGAATTTTAGTTGATCTAACTCAACATTGGATGGAATTTGTCCATGGCAAACTATAAAAAGCTTTTAATAATACAACTAAACAGGGAAGTGTAACTCCATCTACCAAATCCAAAGAGTAACTGCAGCATTTGATTTAATTTGATTATTGCACCTCTGCATCAGCACAGAATGATTTCCATTTCTTCTGGATACTTCAGATTTACAGTGCAGATACTGAACATTTTCTCACTAAAGGAACTGGGCTTTTAAAAGCTGTCTGTTTTCCAATACCCATAACTTTGGATGGAGTTCTGAGTTTGTAAGCAAGTTTACATGTCATCTTCTAGATCAATCCCATTCATTATTGAAGGCTTTTAATTAAAAAAAACAAACCAACAAAACAAAAAAAAAAAACTAGCAGCAATAGAACAATAATTCATACAGAAATTTTAGTACTAAACTCAGAGTGTATGTGTGTATATTGTTCAATAATTCATGTGTGCTTTACAGAAAAATATTTGATCACAAATAAGAAAGTTCTTAACTACAATCAGTGAATGCAATAGTGCTTTTTAAGAGAAAAGAGCTGCAAGTATTCAGAGTCTTCTATTGGGAAGAACCAGTCTTAGCAAAATGGGATTTCATTGGAGAGTCAATTCAGTTACACGCCCTGGACACTGAATCTTTTCTCTTTCTTTGTATTCTTTGCTAGACTCAATTCAGTTACACGCCCTGGACACTGAATCTTTTCTCTTTCTTTGTATTCTTTGCTAGACCAACTAGCGATGATATAACTGAGTGGCCCCGTAATTTTATCGAGAAGCAGTGAGTTAATTCATGGAGAAAAGAGAGAAAGGAAAGTCAAGCTGGTGACTGCTTGTATCATGAGACAAGAATACAGTGAAATCCTTAGAAAATCTAAATCCTTAGAAAATTGTTGTCTATCTCTGCATAGTTATAGGCTATAAGTTCACATAAATGAAACATAAATTTGTTATTTTAAATCATGACTGTTCACTACGTTTCTCTGATTTAATGTTCACTGAGATAAAGATCACAAGTGTTAATATAGCATAGCACAGAACCAGATGTTTTCTAGATTAATAATAATGCTGTGCTAAGCTTAATTCTTTGTGATTTTTTTTATAGAAAACCTTAACCAAAAAGGGCAGGGGGAAAAAAGTTATGTACTTAACTAAGCAAGAATATAGCCCAATAACAAGGTCATGTTTTTAAATAGGTCATTGTTCACAATTATTTACTTCCTTTATTTTTTGGGGAGGAAGGGATGGGGAGAGGGAAAGGGGCAGTCCCTAGTGCTAAGTATTCCAGAAACCATGCAAGATTGCTTATTGTCTTGGGATGACAGGGTGTGGAATCATCTTACAAACACTTACAAGACTTGCACACCATTCACTTTATGGACAGAGCTCTTCTTATGCAAAACTCCTATAAAATACAGTGAAAACTTACTTGCACAGAAGGCTCACATAATCAGATCATACATTGTATTGTTTTATATGATCCAGTCATATTTGTCTCCTTCCTCCATTATAAAACATGTAGTAATTTCCCAGGAGTACTTCAAGAGGTGTAAGGTTCAAAGCTGGAAAAAGTCTATGACAGCTCAGTTTGTCTGTTCAGTCTAATACTAAGAAAAGCACTAAATGTTTTCACATGAGAGTAAAAATTCAGATAATGAATTCTGATTTATGTTCCTGCATGCCACCAGGCAATTCTGGTGCACCAGTGAAAGAATGTCTCTTTCTTTGAAGCAATGAATTCCTCAGGGTAGTGTTCTTACATTGTGGTAGACATTGATGTATTCCTTGTATATAGCATTGATTTGTCAAGGCCTGTTGGCTGAAGCACAGATTCTTAATATGCTCAACTAATCTCATTTGAAAACAAACAAACATACCCCCCCAACCAACCAAAAAAATGCCAAAATACAACAAATCAAACAAAAAAAAAACCCTAAAAACCCCAAATCAACAAAATCCTACTACTGATAGAAGTTCTGCTTGTGGAATCTAAGCAGCTTTGTATGTCATACTTTTATGTGTCTTATGTTAACCAACCCTCTTTGTTTTAGATAAATTATCTTGCCAGATATGAAGAGATTCCAATAAAAGACCACATTCATTCCTAACGAAATACTGGGGCAAGCAGGAATTAGGCTTTCAGACAAGGAAGAATCATGAACTTAGAATATCTGATGCTCCACTCCTTAAAAAGATATTTTATATATTTGCTTCAACAGATCCAAAACTGGAGTTATCTTCTGCAGTACACTAACTACAGGACATCTCATTTTGGTTTTTCAATGTCATGGAGCAGACTATGCTGTTAGTCTGGTACATATGTTCTAAGATGTTTTTCCATGAACATCTTAAAATACCAGAATTTCACCTAGTTCAGACCCACACCATAGACTTTTGATACAAATATAATTCTAAATAAATACATCAACAGACTTTCACTCTTTAGGTGTATCTATCATTTTTGAATACAATGTTCTGAAGACATCTTACTTAAGAAGCAACTCAAGCTGACAATAAATTCCCTAAACATTTGTGCTTTCACTGATGGATGCACAGAAATCTAATTGAAACATGATGCTGCTGTGTCATCGAGTTTGCGCATCTACCTCTACCTATATCCGCTGTCAGAGCCAATCTAGCAGAATCTCACTCCATAGTCTAAAAACCACAAAATCAACAGGGGAGTAGGGA